CGTGCACGCCAGCTGATCTCTCCGCTCCATCTGCACGCGGTCGTCTTCCATTCCGTCGCTCGTCTTCTCCATCCGTCATCATTCATGTCCTATGCGAGTCCACTTTATCAACCCGTCAATAAGATATCTCTCGCTCGTGACCTTGGGTCTCTTTCCGAGCCTGCGTCTCGTGCTTATTTTGCGGACTTTTCACCCTTTCGTTAGAACATTCATTGTCATTTGTTGCACAGTAGTCACCATAGCGAGCGCGGGGAAATAACCCGGAGGAAATGATTGCAGAACGCAACAAAGAGGGCGGCAATTGTGAGTTTTAGATAAAAACATTTTTTAACACGGGCAGCAGAGACATCGCCGTACGAGTTCGCCGAGCAAAGGAAAATGTTTTACTGGTAGGAACCCACTGGTTCCACCAGCCCACAGGGGATTATTGTGTCCGTCCGTCCGTCGTGCAGGGAGAGGCTGGGTGGGGAGGGAGGGGCTAGGTGGGGAGGGGAGGGTGGGGAGGAGCTGGGTGGGGAGGGGAGGGTGGGGAGGGGCTGGGTGGGGAGGGTGGGGCTGTGTGGGGGGTGGGAGGGGTGGGGCTGGGTTGGGGGTGGGAGGGGTGGGGCTGGGTGGGGAAGGGCTGGTCACCCCGTGGTGCCCTTATAAAACTCAACGTTTAACCTACTCACGCCGGCTTGTGCCCGCCCTCACAGTCGGGCATATTTGCGGAATACACCACGCCGCCGTTGACCCTGGCCATTGACCGAGCAACCCAACGTTCCTACCAGCTCCCTCCGCAGGAGGAATGTGTTCTGGAGTGTTTGTGTGTGTGTGTGGGACACTTATTGAAGATGGACCAGGACGAAAGTGGATACATAACTCGGCGATGGCGAGCAGTGGGGGGTTCCTTTGCAAAACCCAATTTCATTATGAAAAGCATCGCCCCAAAGTACACAGACAGGAATGTTTTAGTTCGGTGCATATTGCCTGCCTTGTCATACGGATGAGAAACAACGAACAAAGGACTCTTTCGTATACTTTACCATTCGCGTTTCAATGTGGTTATAGGGCTTGGACTACGTGTGAATGGTTGCAAGTTACGTGAGCTCATCGTTCATGTTGAGTTCATAAAACTTGGAAAATCAAAAGTTGATCGTCCTCTGGAGAGGATGGCCCTTAAATTTCGATTTAAAGCTTTCGTGACTGCAGGGATTCATCTTCTTGGTTCTTTCGGTAAAGTCACGTAGAAGGAAAATAATAAAATAATAAAAATAAAACATAAAATAATTCTCATGACGTTTCGGCCACAACGCAAGCAGCTGTCCTTGGTGGTGTTTCATTCTTCACCTGAGGACGGCTGCTTGCGTTGTGGCCGAAACGTCGTGAGAATTATTTTATTATGTTTATTTGTATTATTTTATTACTTCCCTTCTACGTGACTTTACCGAAAGAACCAAGAGGATGGCCCTTGCCATGGGAATATGTAATGTTCACTTCTGACTCAGGAACAACCAATGAATGTGAGCACCACTCCAGTGCTCATTTAACTCGACTCTACTCGATTACTTTTTTTGCTTATTCATTTCTGTTATAAATACACCTTACTGTCAATTAATTTGTAGAAAATTTAATGGGCGAGGGGGGGGGTCACAAGACATCTGGACCACGCTGTACAACATTGCAGAATTTATACTCTTAGGTTTTTTCGGAAAAGTCACGTAGGTAAAAATAAAAATAAATAATAAAAAGTAATAGAAATAATAGTAAATTATATATTATTTCTATTATTTTATCTTTTACCTACGTGACTTTACCGAAAAAAAACCTAAGAGTATGAATCTTTGCTGTCCCAAAAGCTTCAAATCTAAAATTGCAGAATTTGCTTTCACGATAAACGGGGTGGGCATGGTGGCGCAGTAGTTCGCGCTCTACACGACCTGAGAGTTTGATTCGCAGCCACGGCTATAACAGCCGTTGTACCACCTCGGTTCACTAGATCCAACCTGCCGATCGACTGAGGCCGTTGACCCATGCACACGGCTGCAGCGATGGGTTTTGCCGCATTGCCCTCTGCTGACGATTTACAGCACACGGCAGCAGAGGTCGCAAACGGGTTTTGATTCCTTACCCGTACCGATACCCGGCCGCACCAGGGTCGCAAACGGGTACCCGTACCCGGCCGTACCCGTACCCTACCCGTACCACGGCCGGGGATACCCGTACCCTACCCGATACCCTGCTACGGGTAGGGTACGGGTATCGGGTACCTGATTGCGACCTCTGGGATGAAGCCATGTTGCAGGCGCGGGTGGGTTGATTCTAGGAACTTGAATTGTGAGAAGAAACAAGACGTTGGGAAATGAGTGACAAACAGTTACTGACCAGTGACTCACGGCCTACCCGTACCCGGCCGCACCAGGGTCGCAAACGGGTACCTGTACCCGGCCGGGTACGGGTAGCCGGGTATCGGGTAGGGTACGGGTATCGGGTACCCGGTTGCGACCTCTGGGACAGAGGCAACGAAGGGGATTTGGGAATCCTCTCGCTGTCTCCACTTCCGCGTGGGGAGACTGAGCCGGAGATCTCTGGGGTTTGCTGCTGAGTGTGCGTTACGCCACGACATCAACCCCACTTGACTTTAGTGCTCGGGGTAAAACAATAACGCGCACAGATATAATTTAAAAAGAGCAGGCGCAATGGTATATATCTAAAATAACCCGTGATGTTTTAATCAAATAACCGTGATGTTAATCAAATAACCGTGACGTTTTAATCACGGTTATTTACTGAATAATTATTTTGTTTCTGAATTTTAAATGTACTTCAAGCAGCAATTATATCCACTAAACATGTTGATTATTACTGAGATAGACAATACATGCACGTATACTAACATGTACACGGAATAAACAGCACGTGCAACACGAATTGGGTTCACACAGCTTCTAAACAATGCTGTATAATTAGAACAAAATGCCATGCAAAGCTCACAAGCCACACGCGTATCAAATCTCGGCACGTTTGTCAATAAAGCAGTGGCCTTATACTAAAAAAGATTTTGACGGCGACGTTTCGCGCAATGGCCCTTCTTCATAGCACGTAAATAAAGATGACAGAGAGATAGATGTAACAACGGTGGGAGACTGCCTACGTGCTACGATGAAGAGGCATTGCCTTATTGGCGAATGCTTTGAGTTGGTATTGTTAATGATGTCCGTGTACCACTGGCAGCAGTAGCATCGCCAAATAATTTGTACCAAAATCTGATCCCAATAATTCAGACATCGGATTTGGAGTCAGAGCTAAAAAAAAAAACCCGCAATTCATCTTCATTATTTTATTATTTCCCTTCTACGTGACTTTACCGAAAGGACCAAGAAGATGAATTGCGGGTTTTTTTTTTAATAAAACATAATAATTTTATTTTATTATTTTATTCTTTCCCTTCTACGTGACTTTACAGAAAGAACCAAGAAGATGAATCCCTGCAGTCACGAAAGCTTTAAATCGAAATTTTATTATGTTTTATTTTTATTATTTTATTACTTCCCTTCTACGTGACTTTACCGAAAGAACCAAGAAGATGAATCCCTGCAGTCACGAAAGCTTTAAATCGAAATTTTATTATGTTTTATTTTTATTATTTTATTACTTCCCTTCTACGTGACTTTACCAAAAGAACCAAAAAGATGAATCCCTGCAGTCACGAAAGCTTTAAATCGAAATTTTATTGTGTTTTATTTTTATTATTTTATTACTTCCCTTCTACGTGACTTTACCGAAAGAACCAAGAAGATGAATCCCTGCAGTTACGAAAGCTTTAAATCGAAACCCCGCAATTATATCCCCTCTCTGCCTCTGCTCTCAGGGAAGGGAATCGCTGAAACGTCGTAAGTCACGGAACTAAATGTGTTAGTGACGAATGTGTGAACGCATTCTGGGCCTTTGCCACTCTCTCTCGACGCCACTGCCAATGGAAAAGGGCGAATGTCTCATGTCAACGGGTGAGTGGGAAGGAGGGGGTGTGCTTGTGGAAGCAAGTAGGCATGGATACCAAAGAAAAAGATCCCTCGTATAGCCTTGATAGACTGTTGGGGCAAGTGCTGTTTGCGAGCAGCACCTATGAAGGTCAACACGGCACACGAGGGGGTGGGTGGCCAGCACCACGCCCGGATGGATACCAAAACAAAGATCCCCCGTGTAGCCTTCACAGACTGTTGGGGCAAGTGCTGTTTGCGATCACCTATGAAGGCCGGCACGGCACACGAGGGGGTGGCCAGCACCACGCCCGGATGGATACCAAAACAAAGATCTCCCGGGTAGCCTTCACAGACTGTTGGGGCAAGTTCTGTTAGTGAACACCTATGAAGGCCGGCACGGCAGACGAGGTGGTGGGTGGCCAACACCACGTCCGGCCGCCTTTGTCTCCCCAGTGACGATGTTTACACACGGCACCAGGTACTCATTTGAGGCTGAGTCGACCTAGGGAAGGCCCAGGACCGGTTCAGATAAATCGTCACCGGTGTTGGTGGCCATGAGCAAGAATCGAACTCGGGTGGCCGGGTTCGTAGCGCAGCGCAGCGCTAACTGCTACACCACCGCTCCCCACAGGATAGACTGCCCCACCAAAGACAAAGATCCCCCTATAGCCTTAACAGACTGTTGGGGCAAGTACTGTTAGCGAGCACCTATGAAGGCCGGAACGGCACACGAGGGGGTGGGGTGGCCAACACCACGCCCGCGCGCCTTTGTCTCCCCAGTGACGATGTTTACACACGGCACCAGCTTCTCATTTGAGGCTGAGTCGACCTAGGGAAGGCCCAGGACCGCGCTAACCGCTACCACCCACCGCTCCCCACGGGATAAACCGCCCCCACCCACCCCCCAACACGCACACAACAGGAGTGCTGCGTGCGTGTTGGGGGGTAAGAGCTGTTTGGGGAGGTGCTGCTTAGGCTGCTGATGCTGCGTCTACGGGGTGGAGTCTGTCGCCTGCTCCACAGCCCCCAGCTCACAGATGCCGTCCGCCTGTGGCTCAGTGACCCTGCAGGCAGCCTCACGCGTGGCCGCGCGCGCAACGCTGGGACGGTTCAACGCTTCGGTGTGTTAGAAGGAGTAAACCCAGTGATACAGCAGTAGACTGACATTGCTCGGTATGTGTACGTTCCGTGCATGATTACGGATTAATCATTCGTAGTATGAGTATAATTAGTCTTCCTGTGGTCATGTTGCATGCGTCTGCGAGTTCGCTCTTCTGCTCGCTGAGTTTATTAGCGGAGCACACAGACAGCGGTGCTGGGCTGTGATGGAGTGACCGGTGATGGTGTGACGGTGATGGAGTGACCGGTGATGGTGTGACGGTGATGGAGTGACGGTGATGGTGTGGCTAGTGATGATGTGGCCGATGATGGTGTGGCCGGTGATGGTGTGGCCGTTGATGGAGTGACGGTGATGGTATGATGGTGATGGTTTGGCTGATGATGGAGTGACGGTGATGGTGTGATGGTGATGGTGTGGCTGGTGATGGTGTGACGGTGATGGTGTGACGGTGATGGAGTGACCGGTGATGGTGTGACGGTGATGGTGTGGCCGCTAATGGTGTGATGGTTATGATGTGGCTAGTGATGGTGTGACGGTGATAGAGTGACCGGTGATGGTGTAGCCGATGATGGTGTGGCCGGTGATGGAGTGACGGTGATGGTGTGATGGTGATGATGTGGCTGGTGATGGTGTGACAGTGATGGAGTGACCGGTGATGGAGTGACCGATGATGGTGTGACGGTGATGGAGTGACCGGTGATGGTGTGGCCAGTGATGGTGTGACAGTGATGGTGATGCCGGTGATGATGTGGCCGGTGATGGTGTGACGGTGATGGTGTGACGGTGATGGTGTGACGGTGATGGTGTGGCCGGTGATGGGGTGGCCGGCGATGGAGTGACGGTGATAGTGTGACGGTGATGGAGTGACGGTGATGGAGTGACCGGTGATGGAGTGACCGGTGATGGTGTGGCCGGTGGTGGTGTGACAGTGATGGTGATGCCGGTGATGGAGTGACCGGTGATGGAGTGACCGGTGATGGTGTGACAGTGATGGTGATGCTGGTGATGGAGTGACCGGTGATGGAGTGACCGGTGATGGTGTGACAGTGATGGTGATGCCGGTGATGGAGTGACCGGTGATGGAGTGACCGGTGATGGTGTGACAGTGATGGTGATGCCGGTGATGGAGTGACCGGTTATGGAGTGACCGGTGATGGTGTGACGGTGATGGTGTGACAGTGATGGTGATGCCGGTGATGGAGTGACCGGTTATGGAGTGACCGGTGATGGTGTGACGGTGATGGTGTGACGGTGATGGTGTGGCCGGGGATGGAGTGACCGTGCGCGCCTGCGGAGGCTTCACCCGCGTGCGATGGGACAGACGCGAGGCAGCTGCCGCACGGGTGAGTGAGCGACTGATGCGCCCGACGGCGTCGAAGCAGTGAACGCCGGGCTGAGTGTTCACCTGCGAGACACGCAGAGACGTGAACGCAGTTGCTTGGCAAGTGACCTTGATGATGTACATCGCTGTATTCACCGTATCTCAGAATGAGACGATCTAATTAGACTGGAGGAGGAATCCGATGAGCTATGAAGCTTTTTTCGCAGGTGTTCGGTTCGGGGCAGCTCCGAGCGTTACAACAACAAACGATGCGACAACACAATAGAAGTGCAAAGTAAAGAGTAAGGTAAGCAAATCACTTACACATGTATACTAATAAACATAAAGTATCGGTTTTGTTTGTACCTTATCAGATAAAGGCCACTTGGGCTATTAGCTTCTCGAAGCGACCTGACCATCACGAATGACGGCTCAGCGAAGCGCAGGCAGAGAACGGAGTTTTCTATCTTGATTTGAAGCTTTCGTGAGCGCAGGAACCCATACTCTTTGGTTCTGTCGGTAAATAAATCACGACGTTTCGGGCGCAACACAAGCGTCCGTCATCAGGTATGGAAAGCTTGTGCTGCGCCCGAAACGTCGCGATTTATTTGATTTTATTTTATCCCCACGTGACTTTACCGACAGAACCAAAGAGAAGGGAGTTTTCGTTGACGTGCGTGAATGTGCCGAGTCTGCAGTTCCTCTCCCCCCCGCCCCCCCCCGTGTTCCACACCGTGCCCCCCCCCCCCCCTTGAGACGGGGACGCGCTATGAACCGCGCGGCTCTAAACAATCCGGTGCCCCCCCCCACTCCCATCGCGGGCTCAAACAGCGAGTGAGGAGGCAACAACAGGAGGGGAGGGCAGACGAATCGTGGTGGCAACGTGTGGGCCCTTAGCGACAGCGCGTTCGCCGCCTGTTGTGCGGGTTCACGGTTCGAGGCATAGCGGCCGCCCTGGTTAATACTGCGGGTGTATTGACCATAGCAGTGTATGCCTCGTTTGCTTCGCGGTGGACGTCAATGATCCCGTGATGTGTTTCCTTTTACACGCTTTTTATTAACTCATTCTGTCTGTTGTTGTTGTCGTTGTTGTTGTCGTTGTCATTATCCTCAAATCTTGTAACTCGATTTTAACCCACTCCCCAATGTGGTATCGACTGCAAACTTGGTATACTTATGTCATACCGATGACAATACTATATTCTATCATAAAAATCTAAATAAAGTATCTTGAAACATTATTTTATATGTTATGTTTAGGCTTGGGTCTAATTGTCCACTACTCAACTGACGTTGGCTGTAATTGGCCACGGCCCCTTACGCTGTGGCAAGCTTCGGGGCCACTTCCTGGAGTCGTGGAGTTCTGCCATTACTCGTACACTTCATAAAAGCGTGTTTTTAAACACGTTTTTTAAAATATTACTTATTTCTGTCTCGCAAGAGTAAGGCCATCCTGTGTTGGCGTCACGGGTCCAAATTGACCAAATTTGAGAATTACCCTTACACTTCTCAATTGTAATCATGCATAACAAGTAAACCCCGGGTCCGCCCCCGCCACCCACTGACAGACCACAGAGCTGGGGCCGTCGTTGGGGCTGGTCCCTGGTGGCTTCCCGGCTTGTCTGTGGTTTCCTGGTCTCACGAGCGAGATGGATCGAATCGCCCCCACTGCTTCGTGACCTTTCTGATGTGCTGACGTTGTGATGTTAAACACGTATTATAGTCAAAGCTCGTGAAAACAAAGTATGCTTTAACGAAACATACATTAACATTTGGTCGACCTGAGCATCTCCCTGCACAACTTATGAAACGTTTTCAAGACAAACTATACCAGTCAAGTCAGTCATTCTTTCAATATGAGAAAGTATCCATACTCTTTGGTTCTTTCGGTAAAGTCACGTAGGTTCAAATCAAGATTGAGAACATATCCCTTCTAAAGTAATGTATTTGTACCTATCGGCACGCATATTAACATTTCCAACGAAATCGTAGAATTGTGTTTGATTCAGCTTAGGCTTCAGCGTCAATACAGATTCTTTTCCACTAGATATGACACACCATTTCGAATGATTTGTACATTTTGTTTCGGATTGATCCCAAAATTATGAGATCACAGCAAATGATGACACCTATATTACATAAGTTCTGTGAGTTTTTTTCCCCCACCAAAAGTGGTGTTACGTGGCATTGGGTGAAGCCACTTTTGTGAGCGTCTCTTTAGGCCCCTTGGTGGTTCCGTGTTTTTACAGACACGCAGGGCAGTATAAGCTGGACGTAAGCACACCCCTTGGGAGCATGACCAGGTGTGCTTATAACCAAAAGAGCGTGCTTGTATCAGAAGTTGCCCTTCGCCTTCCTGCCACCAGTGAAATCTCAGCACGTGCTGCTTATAGCAGAATTTAGCTTATATAAGGTATGCGTACATATCCGACTCTCCTGTTATGTTGAAAAGTCCACTGTTTTTCTAAAACAGCGCGCCACGTTTATTACAAATCTAATAAAAAAAACATCACCACAAAGTGCCACTCATCCTTTCCTGCATCCCTGCCTCTCGCTGTCCTCCCACGCTCCCCAGATGCCCGCAAAGCGCCACTCTCAGCTGTTCCGTTGTGATGCTTTGTGCTGAGTGCGTGGTTTATCCTCGCGCTGCGCAGGGCACCACGCCAGCCGCAGGCAATAGCGGCAGAGCTTGCCCGGGGCAGTTGCGTCCCCCCCCCCTTGCCCAACCTACCCAGTAAATGATCCTAGGCAGGGCAATACCTCTCGTGATAAAATATGCCTTTAGATTTTAAGCTTTCGTGACTGCAAGGATTCATGTTCTTAGGTTTTTTCGGTAAAGTCACGTAGGTAAAAAATAAAATTTATAAAAGTAAAATAAAATAAAAATCACGACGTTTCGGAAACAACACAAGCTTCCGTCTTCAGGTGGAACCGTCACAGCACGATAACTTGATACAGCTATCGTGCTGTGACGGTTCCACCTGAAGACGGAAGCTTGTGTTGCCTCCGAAACGTCGTGATTTTTTATTTTATTTTTATTTTACTTTTATTAATTTAAATTTTTACCTACGTGACTTTACCGAAAAAAACCTAAGAATAAAAAAGATGCCTTCTTTAAGAACTCCAGAACCAGGGCTACATTTCCAATTGAATATTTTCCAGGCACTCCCAAAACCCTAACCCCCCCCCCCACCACCCCCACCCAGGACTCCTGCCCAATAGTGGGGATAGGGGACGGGGGTGGGGAAATATTTTCCCGACCTCAAGACAATTCCAAATTAAATTAAGCCCTGTGCCGAACAATGTGTCACGTAGTAGTAACCCGTTGAAATGTTCTCACCACTGCAAACTTACCATTCATGTTTCGTGATCTGGAACTTACATGTACACGTAGATATATATTTTTTCTCCAATCCACTGCTGGATGCTACTGTAATAAGGAACGAAACAGGTGGACTTCTCCAAAAAACTGTCTGTCGCCTGATGAAGCTGGTTGTAATTACTGGCGAAACGTCGTACTCAGATTGTAAATGTTGTGGCTTGGCTCTCCTGTACTAGTACACTACACTATACACTACACTACTATACACTACACTACTACACACTAGTGCCGTAATCGTGACGAATTGGCACGTTCTGTTTACGTGACAACCCTTACTAGTTGGCTGTGTTGGGTGGTGGCGGGTTTAACAACAAATTTATATATTTACGCGATTTAACCTAAAAAAAACTCGATCATGGATTGTGATTGTAGTCTGTTGTGCCAATGTTCAAGACACCTCAGGAGGGTCGTGTTTTACACGTTAGGTTTATTGGTCAAAACTGCAGTATGTGGAGGAAAATAATGACAATGACTAGTCTGTGTGATGTAGTGCCCTGTACGCCAATGGGTCTCAAAGTTATTTTTTTATCCCATCTCGTCTCAACACATTAGAAAGGGGCACAAGGTGACTGCACCTGGCCTGCAAACGGTCTGTCAGCAGTAGGGGCGGGGGGGTGATTTGCTGTGCGTAATCTCAATTGAGTAATTTGCGGTGTCATTTTTGACTGCGGAAATTTTGGACCCTGACAACATTCACAAAACACATTCATAACGAGCGGCTAATATGTAAAGATCTGCACAGAGAGAGAGAGCTCAGTAACCTACTTGCTGGATTGCCACATGTACACGATCCAGCAAACCTCCTGATTACAGGCGCGCACCCTGCCACGCCCTGTACAATACACGCATCTCGTAATTAGCGAACTCCACGTAAAAATAACCGAGGTCCGTTCCAGCGATCTAAATCACGAGAGAGTGTGCCCCCGAGTTCACAGTGGCCGGGTGTTCTCGACAGAGACCCTCGCACGGGCTGGGAAAGGCTTTGGCGCAGAGGTCGCAACCGGGTACCCGATACCCGTACCCTACCCGATACCCGGCTACCCGTACCCGGCCGGGTACGGGTACGGGTAGCCGTTTGCGACGCTGGTGCGGCCGGGTACGGGTACTGGTAGGCCGTGAGTCACTGGTGAGTAACCGTTTGTCACTCATTTCGGGTAGGGTACAGGTAGGGAACGGGTACGGGTACCCATTTGCGACCCTGGTGCGGCCGGGTATGGGTAAGGAATCAAAACCCGTTTGCGACCTCTGCTTTGGCGTAGGAGGAGGGCCCTGGAATCGAGGACACGTCACGCTCCGAATTACCTCCCGAGCAGGCCCGCCTGGGAGCTTGGCATTTGTCCTCCGTACAGGCAATACAAATGAGTGTACAGAGAGAGATTGTATATATTTATTTATATATAAAAAAAACTAAGCATCCCGGGCAAAGCGCTGATGGGAATTGTTTAGTGCAGTGGTTCTCAAGCGTTTTGGAATGACGGCCCCTTCAATCAAGACCATTGCGCCCCCCCCCCCCCCCCCAAGTTACTAACGCCACAGTAAACTTAGCGAGCGCATGTCTACGCCACGGGTCGACGCGGTGCTGGTCAAGCGCCTGTTTTTCACGTTGTAGGACCGCCTCGGAAAGTGTTGTCGTTGCAACACGGCGCTGACGTGTCCACCGCGCAAATCCCAAATTTTCTCCTGCACGGTATCCGTGCCGCAGCCCTGCACCCACCCTCCGCACCCCGAAAGGCTTCCGTGCCCTGGCCACCAGGGTGGTGCAAGCGAGGGGTCGGGAACCGCTGCTGTGTAGAGTCTATTGGGGGAAATATGTAAGACGACGCAAAGGAGACACACATTAAGTAAAGAATAGTTCTGCGTCGTTCGAGCATGCAGATGGGAAACCCAAGGAGGGAGAGAGGGAAAAGGGAAAAAACAAAACCAAC